CTGTATTTCCAGCTACTCGGAAGGCTGAGGCGGAAGGATCGCTGGAGCCCAGCAGGTCTGGAGTTCAATGGAGTGGAGCTCACAGCCACTCCAGCGTTGACTTGCTGGGCTCTGGCGATCCTTTTGCCTCAACCTTCCAAGTAGCTGGAACCACAGTCATGCTACCACGCCCCACGGTTTATTTGTTTTTATAGATGAAGCCTCACTATGTTGCCCAGGCTGGTCTCAAACTCCCAGACTCAAGAGATTCATTCTCCCACCTTGATATTCCAAAATGCTGGAATCACACAGGTGAGCCACCACAACCATAAACTTATCATTTAAATGTTCCTAGTAGCTATGGTTCCAGTGGCTTCTGCTCCAGGCAGTCAGATCTAGCTGACTTTCTGGATTCACCTGTTTCCAGATTTCTGGATGGCAGCTTGCCCTGCAAACTCAGTGCTCTTTAGCCCAGCTTTTTGTTGTTGTGAGGATACAGTGACAACTTTTATTTATTTATTTATTTTGAGTTGGAGTCTCACTCTATCGCCCAGACTGGAGTGCAGTGGCACTCGGAAGGCCGGGGCGGAAGGATCGCCGGAGCCCAGCAGGTCGAGGCTGCGGTGGCCGGGAGCGGCCGCTGCACTCCAGTCTGGGCGACAGAGTGAGACTCCAACTCAAAATAAATAAATACATAAATAAAATACAATACAATAAAATAATTTTCCCGTGGGTAGTCGGGGGCATGACTCATTTACAGAGCGTGAACACCCGCACACCTTCGCGGGGAGGGCGGTTCCGAGCAAAGACGTGCACGCCGGGTGCCGCCGGCCAGGACTACAAGTCCCAGGCTGCTCCGCGGCGCGCGCGGCCCGCCGGGACGCGTCCCTGTGAGTCTGCGCGGGAAGTGGAGCCTGGCTCCCGGAAGCCCCAGCCGGAGATCCGCCCGGCCGCGCGGCGCCGCCGCCATGCCCATGAAGGGCCGCTTCCCCATCCGCCGCACCCTGCAGTATCTCAGCAAGGGGGACGTGGTGTTCAAGGACTCGGTGAAGGTCATGACCGTGAATTACAACACGCACGGGGAGCTGGGCGAGGGCGCCAGGTCAGTCGGAGCCCGGCGAGACCGCCCCGCGCCTGCACCCCAGCCTGTCGGTCGTCGCGGCTGCTGGGAGCCCTGGGGCCGGGCTGGAGGACAGAGAGAGGGCTTGTCTCTAGCCCATGAAAATTCTAAAAAAGTCTTTAGCGATCTGAGGGGTGAGGAAGAATCGCTTCAGTCTGCACGATTTTACTGGGAAGATGTTGAGCCTCTCTTCGTAGGAAGGATGACTGGTCGTTTGGGTTCTGAGAACTGCCTGTTGCCTGCTGTTGTGAGTTGGCAGTTTTATAAATGATGTGGACAACTCTGTGTCGAGACCATTGGTCCTTTGTTTTATGTTTTGCAAACTTTTTCTTTGGGTTTGGCAGCTGTCGAATGTGTTTTTGGTAAGTTTGGCCTTGCAAAGGTTTTGATGTAGCCAGAGTTACCTGTTCTGGCCTTTTGTGTGCACCTGTATCCCCACTCTCCAGTGAAGATTCAGAGCTTCTTAGTGTCACTTTTTTTTTTTTGAGTTGGAGTCTCACTCTGTCGCCCAGACTGGAGCGCAGTGGCCGCTCCCGGCCACCGCAGCCTCGACCTGCCGGGCTCTGGCGATCCTTCCGCCTCAGTCTTCCGAGTAGCCGGAACTACAGGCATGTGCTACCAGGCCCGGCTGATTTTTTGATTTATTGTAGAGATGAGGTCTCGCTGCCCAGGCGGGTCTCGAACCCGCGGGCTCAGGCAATCCACTCACCTCAGCCTCCCAAAGGCGCGGGATGACAGGCTGAGCCACCGAGTCCGGCTTAGTGCCACTTTCTAGTTCATTCCCCTTCCACCTGGGGCAACCCTTGTTATCTCATGCCTTCTGAGTATAAAGGCGTTCCTCCACTCCTAAAATTGTAAAAATATTCCCCTGTGTGTACTTTCTGGGTTTCATTTATTTTAAAGTTGTGATATAATCTAGAAACGGTGCATTTCTCTAAAGATACAGTTCAGAGAATGTCCACACACGTGTACAACATGTAGTTACCACACAAATCAAGACGGAGTGCCTTTGTGGTTTCATTTTTACAGTTATGCCTTTTTGTTGGTGAGTTTTAGGCGTGTGTGCAATGCAGGTCAGGATACAGATTTCTTTTCCTTCCGATACTTAACCAGAAGTCCCAACGCCATTCAGAAAACTCCTGAAGGATTCCTTTGAGCAGTTTTCCTCAGTCTCTTTTGGGGGTGGGGTAGACAAGGTCCTATGCTCTAGAAAAAAACAAATGAGCACAAATTTTAGGTTACAAGTTCTTTTTCATAGGTTTAATTTCTTCCCTTTTACAGGAAATTTGTGTTCTTCAACATACCTCAGATTCAATACAAAAACCCTTGGTTGCAGATCATGATGTTTAAGAACATGACGCCATCACCCTTCCTGCGATTCTACTTAGGTGAGTGGGGGCCTCTCTGCCACGGTTCAGAGACTCAGACATCAGATACATGCCTGGAGAGGCAGTTTTTTTGTTCCCTCCCAGCCCTTCTTCCTGCTGTAGCCGTCAGGGTGAGCTGAAATTTGAGTGGTCATAGTTCTTCTATGACTCCTGTCACCTTTGGCCCTCCTATACTTTAGTTCACAGTGGCTGCTGAGATCTGGACTCTCTTCTTCCTTCCCTCTCCAGCCTCATCTCCTTTTGTCCCTGCCTTGCACCATATGGGCTAATTTTCCCAGATTCCCTTGCCACACCATGCTGTGATGTCTTTGCTCATGCTGGCTCCCGGGTCTGAAATCCCATTTCTACTTGTTTGTGCTAATTTTTTTTTTTGAGTTGGAGTCTCACTCTGTCGCCCAGACTGGAGTGCAGTGGCTGCTCCTGGCCACCGCAGCCCCGACCCGCTGGGCTCCGGCGATCCTTCTGCCTCAGCCTTCCGAGTAGTGTTTGTGTTAATTTAACTAAAAAAAAAAAAAAATCCCTTAGGTCTCAGTTTGGGCACCACTTCTTCCAAGAAACCTTCTCTGCACCCTAGATCCTGGTTCCTCCAAAGCCCTTCTTTTTTTTTTTGAGTAGGCATCTCTGTCGCCCAGGCTGGAGGTCGGTGGCACACTCACGACCACAGCAGCCTCGACCTGCTGGGTTCAGGTGATCCTTTTGCTGGAGCTACATGTGTGTGCCACCATGCCCAGCTAAATTTTTGATTTATTGTAGACATGAGGTGTCACCAAGTTGCCCAGGGTGGTCTCGAACCCTTGGACTCAGGCAGTCTTCTTATCTCCGCCTCCCAAAGTGCTGGGATTATAGGTGTGAGCCGCCTCGGCCTAGCCCCTCTTTTAGTGCTTACCACATTCTCTTGAAAAGTTTCTGCATCTGTGTGTGTGTGTCCTCTCTGGCCTGTGTTACTGTGTGCATGTACATGATGCTGTGCATATTTGGACCAGGTGCTAAATGGCGTTTATTCTATTAAGTTAGGCTTTGTGCTAGAAAATTGGGAGACCAGATGTCCTGGCTCAGCTCTCAACTTGTAACTCTGATTCAGAGCAAGTAGCAGTTCACCTTATTTCTCAAGAGAAGGCAAACATCTGCCTTACATGGTTATGAGAATCAAATGAAGTATAGGTTGGGGAATACTTCAGGAAACAAAATGTCCTGTTCTTTCATTCATTCTGCAAATATGAATCGCTTGTCTCCCAGGCTCAGGTGCTGTTCTAGGGACTGGGAGTCAAACAAAATCTCTGCCTTTGTGGAGATAATATTTCAGCAGAAGGAGACAGAAAATGAACAATACAATACACTTAAAATAATATGTTAGAATATTGACCGGGTGCGGTGGCTCCCGCCTATAATCCTGGCACTTTGGGAGACGGAGGTGAGAGGATTGCCTGAGCCCCATGAGTTTGAGATCAGCCTGGGAAACATGGTGAGACCTTATCTCTACAATAAATCAGGAAAAATTAACCAGGCATGGTGGCATGTGCCTGTGGTTCCAGCTACTTGGAAGGCTGAAGCGGAAGGATCGCCGGAGGCCAGCAGATCTGTGAGGATCAGTGAAACAGAAAGTTGGTTCTTTGAAAAGATAAACAAGATTGATAGATTGCTAGCTAGATTAATTAAGAAACAAAAAGAAGATTTAAATTAGCTCAACCAGAAATGAAAACGGAGACATTACAACAGAGGAACAGAGTGAGGCTCTGACTCAAAAAAAAAAAAAAATGAGTACTGTGAGAAACAGGACAACAGGCAACGTTGGGAGGGAAGGGGAAGGGTGTCATGTGGCAATTTGTGTGTGTGAGTTTTGTTTGCATTTTAAGAAATTGGCTTGGGTAACCCCCTCAGGTCCCTTCCCATGGTGGGAGCTTTTTCTGTTCTGTCCTCTCAATAAATCCTGCTTTCAAACCAAAAAAAGAGAAAGAAATTAGCTTTATTGAGGTACAGTTTACCTGTAATGACCACGCAGGTTGTCTGTGCATGGTTTGATGAGTGCTGGTCGTTGGTGTATACCTATATCCTCACTCCCCCATGAAGATGTGGAAGGTTCCCATGACTACCCCAAGTTCCTTAGTGCCACTTTCTAGTTACTTCCTCTTTCACCAGAGGCAGCCCCTATTAGGATTTCTTTCACCATAGTTTGGTTTTGTTGGTTTAGAACTTCATATAGCGTCTTATGGCATGTTTTCTTTTGGGTCTGGCTTCTTTTACTCATTGTGTTCTTCCATGTCCCATGTTTCAGTAGTTTATTCCTTCTTACTGCGGAGTGGTATTCCATTCTATGAATATCCCACCTTTTGTTTATCCGTTTGCCTGTTGATGAACATTTGGGGTTTTTGTTAGATGCCAAGACAGAGTTAGAGGTATGAGATTTATCGGAGATAAGACCTTGAAAGAGACGGGGAGAGGGAGGAGGCTGGCAGGGTCAGTCGCAGGTCTGTCAGCCGGAACAGAAGTGGAGAAGGAAGGCAGGGGCGGGTGGGAGGACCTGCAGTGGGGATGCAGCTCTGAGAGGTTTGGCTAGTCCAGGGGGAAGTTCTAGCTCTGCACTGGACAGAAAAGACCAGGCCCTGGCCTCCGGCCAGAGAGAGCTCAGGCTGCTCTCCTGATCCGGTGCCGCGGCGGAGCTTACTGGGAGGAAGATTTGAGCAGCGGGCCTCGATGGCTGCCGAGAAGAACCTTCATGCCCGAGGTTGTTCTGCACACCCAGGTATCAGTTCTCCTGGATCTACACCTAAGAGCGGAAGTGCTGGGCTACAGGGTAGGTGTGCATTTAGTGTTCCTCGAACTGCCAGCCAGTTTTCCTAAATGATTGTGCCCATTTCACACCCCAGTCAGCTGGGTGTGAGAGTTCTAGGGACTCTGTGTCCTCACCTGCATTGCTCTTGTCAGTTGTGTTAGTGTCCCAGGGCTGCCGAAACAAATGACCACAGTCTCGGTGGCTTAACACAACACAGATTTATCTCACAGTTCTGGAAGAAGGGTTTGAAGTACAACATGGGCCGAAATTAGTGTCAGCAGAGCCTTCCTGTCTGGAGTCTCTAGAGTCAGTCCATTTCCTTCCCTTTTCCGGCTGCTAGGGGTGAGGGGCTGGCTGTCCACATTCTTTGGCTTGTGGCCTCGTTCCTTCATCCTCAAAGCCTGCAACATGGCATATGTGACCGTTCTTCCATAGTTACATCTCCCTCTGACCACAACCCGAGTGGGTCTCCAGTTTTAAGGGCCCATGTGATTAAACTGGGTCTAGTGGATTATCCAGGATCATCTCTCCACCCCACGGTTCTTAACTTTAATCACATCTGCAGAGCTCCCTTTGCTCTGTAAGGTAGCATTTTCCCAGGTTCTGGAGATTAGGATGTGGACATGTCTGGCAACCATTATTCTGCCCACTGCATTAAGTCTTTTTTTTTTTTTTTTTAATTTTTGAGTTTTTTTGAGTTGGAGTCTCACTCTGTC